CGAGCAATCTCAGCATAAAAAGCATGATGCAACAGCGAGATCTATTATTGTCACAAGCATTACAGATGAACATTTAGAATATATTCGTGATTGTAAGTCAGCTTTCGAAATGATAAAAAATTTAGAAAAAGTTTTTGAAAGAAAAAGTATTCTTTCTCGTTTATATGTGCGAAAAAAGTTATTAACCTTGAAATATAAACAAGGCACAGAGTTACAAAAGTTTTTCGTTGAGTTCGATTGTTTAATACATGACCTCGAATCCACTGGAACCACAATAGAAGATGATAAGGTTTGTCACCTGTTGTTAACAATGACAGATACGTTTGACACTGTCATTACTGTATTAGAAACGTCAAATGACAAGTTAACTGTTGATTTTGTTAAAGCAAAATTACTTGATGCAGAACTGAAGTTGAAAAATAATGAAAAAGTAAGTGAAGAATCCTCGTTTTATACAAAGCAAGATAATAAAAAACCCCGTTGCTCATTTTGTGGACTTAAAGGCCATTTAAATGTGGACTTGTGGATTGTCTAGAAATATATTTCTAGACAATCCAGTTGCATGGTATGCAAGGAAACAGAGCACTATTTAATTGAGTAGTACTGAGGCGGAATATGTTTCATCAACTGTTACATGTTGTGAACGAGAAAATAACTGGTAGTATATTATATATAGATAACCAGGGAGCTATATGTATTGCTAAGAATTCATTTAAAGAAAAAAGGTCTAAGCTTATCGACACAAAATATCATTTCGATGAAATTATCGATTATCGAAATCTAATTGAAAACAATGTAATTACTTTACAATACATAAATACAAAATCAAATTGTGCCTATATTTTCATTAACGCTCCTTCAAATGAAATATTTTTACGTCTCAGAAATATGATAAAAATTCAAGAATGTTGAAAGTAACTAAAGCTTAATTAGTTTTTATATATTGTAAATTGGTGTATTTATACTTTAGGTATTCATGTGAATCATGTATTTTATTTTGTCATGTCAATGTTTTTTGAGTTATTGGAAAGTTTATGAATACTTCAATATGTAGATATAAGTTGTAAACTGTTCAGTTGTATTATGAACTAGTATTATTATTATTTCTTTTTGTGCAATTTAATTTTGTTCAATTAAGATTATTTTTGTTTATGTAGTTGACAATTCATCCAAATTTAATACTTTTATAAATGTTGTATAAATTGAGAGGGGGTATTCAAATGTTGCCTATCCTGATATCCAAACATATTGTAAATCAGGTTGGCTACCATGACAGTAATAATAAAGAAGTTGTCATTCTGTTCTGCACATGGAGCGGTGTTTTACTTTCTCAAATAATTAATTACACTCATTTAATTATACTCTGCAAGTCTGAAAGTTTATTAAAAAAAAAAAGACATGTAGCAGTCAATGATATTAAAAAAGTATGTGAGTAAGCTCAAGTAAATGGACATTATACGGTAATATTGTATAAACAATCAATTAACTAACAATAATTAGCAACTTATTAAAAATTAGCACAGCAAAAGAACATGTGGTCTAATAATAAAAAAATATTACATGTTCAAGTTTAAAGTATATCATTAAAACATTATTATTGTTAGGTTAGGAAGCCAGTGGCATTTTTAATTTGTATTTTTTAGTGAAATGGATCTCTATCAAGAACCAACGGACCATTTGGGAATTTGAGCTGAAGCAGAACACCTAGAAACACAACGAGCATTTAATAAATGTGCCTCTTATCCTAAGAGGAAGAACTGAAAAACTCACAAAGTACAGAAAGACAAATTGTGGAAACCTGATTTGTAAGGAACAGACAAAAAAAAATGTTGTAATTCTTATTGGGAAATTGAGGAAGAATCTAAACATTACCTTTAAAATGTTTCATTTGTGTATTATCTTATTTGTCTACTACCTAATTATATTTGAATTATTCCTTCATTATTTCTAAACTTTTGATTTACAATACTTTATCACTTTGTTTTGTTAAATTGATAGAAATATTTTGATACTTTATACTATCGACTAGCGACTAGTCGACTACTTTTAAATATCAATTAGTCTAGTCGTGCAAACTAGTCGACTAGTTCTAGGTAGGCGTGGTCAGCTGTCACCTGTCACTGTCAGTCTCAGTTTGTGTTTTTACTTGATGGGGACAACGCAACGATGTAAAAATACCCAGGATAGAACCTATGAATAAAATGCTTCGGTCCAAAATAGTCGCTAACACTAGCCTACCTGAACTAACCATAGCCGACTCTTGGTTTCAGGAATGTTTTCTGTTGATTTATGAATGAATTTCTTGATTTACCAACAGGAATGCAATAAATTATTGACCTAATACTTGCTTAATACATACTGTTATATGTTAAAATAACATTAAAATATGTTACCAAATAAAATATTTATTAAACACCTCAAATTCAGGTCAGAAATTGTAAACATATATGACGCCAGTTCCGTCATTGATCAGATACATACAAATGTATTATACAAAAGTATTGAAAGTAATACTGCAATTTTTTTGATGCTAAAAGTGCATTTTGATATTTATTAAAACTCCTTAGCTCCACGGGCATTTCGTTAGATCAGTAGATATGTATAAAATTCGTTAGATCTACCAAAAAATCGGTATACGGAACAACACTGGCCGGTTGAGAACTAGTCGTTTGTCATTTAACCTTTTACAATCGACTAGTCAAAACAATCGACTAGTTTGATAGTTTGAGTACTAATCGGTTAAAAGACTAGTCAAATAGTTGATTACCCCATTACTAGCTGACATTCACTCTTCCTTGAAATAAGTGGAATAGATGTAGGTACTCATGTGAGTACAACTATGTTAAAATAGAAGACACATGTAACAGCAGATAAATAAGTAAGATAACTTACTTTGCAAACTTTATCAATATGGCTGAGTTAGAAACCTGAAAAAACTAAAAAAAATACCACTTATGTTTGGGAGACATCAATAGGAATAAAGTGAAGTTTACCAAAACATAAATAATTTGGTTTTAGACAGAATGAGTCACTTAAAACAATCTACCCTGATATTTGTGAAAAAAATTGATTTTTTATTTCAGTTTAATAATACAGAGATATGTTATTTGTCAAATCTATTATATATGTATAAAGTACTAAGGGATATAAATAAATCATTGTTAATTTTAACCTGTAGAACTTACATTATTGTATCGATCCCTGGTGATGATGGACTCGTTATCGAGGCAATAAAAGCAGGTGGAGAAATTTTATTAAAATCAGTAAGCGAACTGTTTACTAAATGCTTACATGCAGGTACGATTCCAAAAGACTGGAACAATGCAGTAATAGTCTTGTTACACAAAAAAGGCGATATTACTAAATTAGAAAATTATAGACCCATCAGCCTCTTGACACATATGTACAAACTCTTTATGAAAATCTTAACAAAGAGGCTAACACCTAAACTTGATTTCTATCAGCCCAAAGAACAGGCAGGCTTCAGGGCAGGATATGGCACAAATGACCATTTGCATACCATAAAGATCTTAATAGAAAAGTGCATCGAGTACAACATACCACTGGTTCTTGCATTTGTCGATTACGAGAAGGCTTTTGATTCTGTAGAGTTTGAAACAATACTGGAAGCCCTAACTCAAAGCCAAATAGATTACAGGTACACGACACTCATCAAAAACATATATCAGAACGCTACATCAAGTATACGACTGCACGAAGACACAGAAAAATTCAGCTTAGGTCGAGGAGTTAGACAAGGAGACAATATTTCACCAAAATTGTTCACGGCAGCTCTAGAGTCAATATTTAAGGGTACTCAATGGCAAGATATGGGCATCAATATAGATGGAGAAAGATTAAATCACCTAAGGTTTGCAGATGATGTTGTATTAATCGCAGATAACTTACAAGATACAGTTTCTATGATGCATTCGCTTAAAAGTCTGTCTGAAAGAGCAGGATTATAGATAAACTTTGAGAAAACTAACATTATAACAAATCTCGTAATGAGTGGAAATATAACTATTGACAATAATACCATACAACAAACAGACACTTAAAAATATCTGGGACATGAAATCAAAATAAGCAGAGACAATCAAACACATGACATACAGAGGCGAATAGGTCTAACATGGGCAGCATTTGACAAATTAAGCCATATTCTAAAAAGTTCAATTCCCATGTGTCTCAAGCGAAAGGTTTATAACCAATGTATTTTACCTGTACAAACTTATGGAGCAGAGACTTTAACACTCACGCAAAAATCTGCGAATAAACTTAGAGTTACACAACGAGCCATGGAACGTGCAATGCTGAACGTGAACCTTCGAGACCACATAACAAAACCAACAAATCAGGCGAAGATCAGGAGTTCAAGACGTCATCGAAAGAACCACAACACTTAAGTGGAACTAGGCAGGGCACTTAGTCAGAACACAAGATGGACGGTGGACAAGACGTATTATGGAATGGAGGCCCAGAAATTATAAAAGAAGCCGAGGATGACCACCGACTAGATGGACCGATGCCATTAAACGTGTAGCGGGAAACTGGATACAAGCGGCCCAGTGTAGAGAACACTGGAAAGAACTGAGGGAGGCCTATGTCCGGCAGTGGACGCGATTGGCTGATTGATGATGATGATGATGATGTTAATTTTAACCTGTAGAACTTACATTATTGTTTTAGATTATGTAGTTCATGATTTATAACACCTGTGCTGGAGACATAGCTAGTCTAATATTAAATTCTGTATTTACAATCCAGTCGTCCAGTTGATACTTTCTATTTATTATTTAATTTGTTGATATGTTTCTGTAGACTTCAGGTGAAACATTAGTTTTAAAATTATAGGATAAAATGTGATAGAAGTTTCAATATTTTAATACAGAATTAAAATACTGTAATTTTTAGACATTACTACTGCTAATTTAAACACAGTAACAAAATGGTTACTTATGGAATTGGAGTTAAAAAAAAACAATTATTAAACTCACCTTAATAATATCTGACTCCTCATCTGAAGATACATCTAACACATCTTCATCATCAGAAATGAAAGAATCATCAGAACTACTAAATTCATCTTCTTCATTACCACTAACCTCAGACTCATCATCACTTTCATTCTTTAACACCTTTCTCCTTCTCAATTTTGATCTTGCTCTTTTCCTACCAGTCATCAGTTCCTTTAAAATCCCATTCAAAGACTTTCCTTTGCTTTCATTTTGGGGAAAATTTAAAATACCTTCTTGTAAATGATTGGTAACATTCTTTATCAACTGAGAATAAATGCCCAACAGGAAAGCTACTGCTGTGGATAGTTGAGATGAATTTGAAGACTTCAATTTGGATATGCAGAGTAAAGAAATGACTACAATTTTGAAAATCATGTCTCCACTTATATGGGAAGCTACAGAATCAGTTTCTACAGAATCTCCATCTGTAGGTCCATCTCCTGACTCACTGTTTGTCAATTTAACAAATGTTAAACATTCTTCCAAGTTTTTATAGGTCTGATGACAAAGATCATATACTTTAGGAACTTTTTTGTTGAAATACCAAATGTCTATCAGCAAAAGAAACCTAGCTACAAATCTTTTGATCTTCTCACTTTGGTCAGGCTCTATAATGCAGTCAGCATTTTTATCCTCCTTGGGGAGCTGCTCCAAAAACTTAGAATTTCTCTCAAAAAGTGCTATAAGATTGTTAGAAGTACCTTCAAAGGAAATTTTGCAGGATAAACATCTCATGTAGTGGTAAACAGCATCTAAAAAGCTATTTTGGTTCATAGCTAAGGTTCCCATTTGATTGTGGGGCATGCCATACTCAGGCTTGTAAGAAATAGCTTGCAGGTAATAACGACAAGCTAGAGTAGACTCCCAATTAGGATATATTTCAAGTTTATATCTACTTAAATCACCCAAATAAATAAGACATTGATGCACTGATTGTTTAGCCCATTCTATTGCTTCTATCTTCACATCACCAGTATCCTTCTTCTCAGAGTGTATCATTGGAAAGTCAATGAATGTTTTAATATCTAGATTAAAATTATATTGCAACTTAGACAACATATGGCTGTAAAAACCTATGCCAGCATTTATGTGTGAAGCAATGAAACTGATTTCCTCAGGAAGGTACTCCTTTTTCTTCAGTTTCTTTGCTGTTGAAACTACATCATAATACCCCTTCCTCCAAAGTAGCTCCTCTCCTTTACGACCATATAGTGAAGGATCTGAAAATATTAATCTTTCGCAGTATTCACAGAACTTTTTGCGCTGTACTTGTAAATTTGGTGAAAATAGGTCTCCCACTATTCTGGCACAACTCCTAGTGTCATCTAAACGTTTAGCTTGTTCACTTATGGACCTGTAAAACAAAAATAAATTATCATGCCATGTCTGAATTATAGAAGTTTACAAATTTTTTATTATAGAATTCTGCATTTGGAGTGAGTTTACTAGATAGATCATAATAATATGAATGTGGAATATTACATAAATTATGTATTAAGAAATAAGACATAATATGTTTAGGGGTGTATCCTTAATATTAGATACTCAAAAAATTATAATACAGTTGTGTGATTTTGAATTACAAAGCAATTCCAAGAATTGTGAAATAATTGGAAGGGTAAGCTAGGAAAGTCTAGGTGTGAATTCTTCTATCAAAGTCAAAATGAGACCTTTAAGGATACTTTTAATCCAGATAAGGTATCCACAATCACACAATATGAAAGCCTGAATCACTGCAAAGGGTATTACATACTAATTCAGGAAGATCTGTGTGACAATGCAGCAACATGTGCTTGAAAAAGAATATTTTATCCACAAAGATAAAGAGAAATGTAAGAGCTAACCCCCACATTACAAGAATAATGAGATGTTCCAATAAAATATTTCCACAAAACTACAATTGTGTTAAATACAGTTACCAATAATTACACTAAGTTGTGAAATTATCTTATACTCTAAATCAAATTATTATATTTAGAAGAAATGTCCAAGAAATAAATAAATTGGTTTCATTTGTTTTACAGCTATTAATATTAAATAACAACTGCATGGTTACTCTCATTACAAAAAAGTGAGGTTAGCAAAACATATTTATAAATATCTATCAATATTAGAAATTCAGGAATCACCAAGCTACGTCATAAATTAATATAACTTACCGATATAATTTTTTTGAGAGCTCTTGGCCCTGATTTTGGTTAATATCTGTTGAGGTGTAGCTTTTCTTCATTTCAACTCATGCTTTTGTTCTTCCCTCGTCAAGAATTCAATAAACTTTTTTCTATTTTCGTTAATTCCAAATATCTGGTTAGGGGCAAAATCATTGTTAGTTCATAATTAATTTCACAAACGTATTTTGACACCATCACAGTTTCTTATCAAATCGAATAAATTGTTCATGGCCAAATAAAAAATAATCATAAAACTTCACCCACATCTGTCGGAATATTTAGGCACTCTTTGATCTTTCTTCACATTTGTAGAGACATCTACATATATCGGATGTAAACAAAATATTCTAAAAACTAAATAAAACAGTAAAATATTATTTATTTTAGAGGAATAGAGAGTACAAATTAAATACAAGTTAGGAGAACATAATCCTTCTCTAATTTTTATATATGTTAACAAATATTTTTGTGTTTGTGTCATTTAACTAGTTTATAGATTCCTTCTGTGATAAAACAGGAGACTTTTATTTGAATATAATAAACTCTATTTATAAAGACACTTATATTTTAAAAATAAATATTATTAATAAATATTATCTATATTGAAAATAGGACATAATTATTTCTTATTCTGCCATACTAATTTTGTTTTGGTAAACATGAAACGTGATGAAACCAAAAATCCAAATGAAACTTTGACATCAATTAATGACATTGACAGGGAACTGGCAGCTTTCTGTCCGAATGTTGACATTTTTATATATTTGAAAAAATGTCGAAAGTGGAGTTTAAACAAGATATGCCCCCACAGGGGGGCTATAATCCAATCAATTTTAAAAGAGTTCCAGCCAAAACTTTATTTGGAGGTATGTAAAGGAGAGAAAACACAATTACGTAACTAACATAACCTCAAATCATTTTCTTTCAGGATGGGCCTTAATCGGGGGCTACATTGGCATGACTGCAGGAGCCGCGTATTTATATTATTTAAATGTCAAGGCGGTACAAACTCGAGAACTTGAATTAAAGGGCGCCAGCTTAGCGCTTTATCCGATACTTATGGCTGAAAGAGATCGCGAATATCTGAAGCAATTACGAAGAAATAGAGATGAAGAACGTGAATTAATGAAGAATGTTGAGGGATGGAAAACGGGTACATGGTATGGTGAACCCATCTACAAAACTAAAGACAAAGATACTCTTATTCATCCCGTATTCCATGAATATTACATTCACAGTTCTTATAAGGACTACACTGTTCGTGCAAACATTGGTTTGATGTCTTAAATATTAATTATATTGTAATTTAGTAGCGAAATTTAAATATTAAATTGTAAATATAATTTATTGAGTTTTTGTTCAATACTGATATTAATTTCAAAATTTAGACATTGCTCTATCATTATCAAGTTCTTGATAACTTACCTACCAAATTTGTTTCTCCTTTTTCAAAATATTCAAGGAATATTTAATATTAGACCATTTCACTTACACTTTATTTTTCACCATTGTTTTTACTGGCTTATTATCTTCATTTTATTCCTTTCTGATTCTGGCTGGAACAGAAATAAAGATTCAATAGCAAATTTGGTGAATTCAATAAGAATCACTATAACAATATCTTTTAAATAGAAAATGATTAAGAAAGTTTCCAAAGTGAACAACCATGGTGAACAATAATAATAAATGAAAAGACAGGCATACAAAGAATAGGAAGAAAAAAATCACCAAATTAGGAATAGATATGTTTGCAACAAATTGTTTAAAAATATAAGTAGTGGTTAGACTAAAGTGAAAATATAATGCTTAATGATTATTGATTACAATTATTGAAGTAAACTATCTGATAGTGAATAATGATAGTACCAAATACAAAATAATTGAAGAATAAGAAATAATTTTTTCTTAGAAAGACTAATCATTGTATTATATTAAATCTAATAATAAAATCTAAATTTGGGAATAATAAAATGGAATGTACAGCAAGACTCTGAACAATAAATTATTATTATTATTATTTATATTTTATATCTTCTTCTTCTTCTTCCTTCTTGTATGTAGGCTTTAAAGCCTGTTTCTTCTTTAATATTAGCCTCCTAAATTGTTTAAATTGTTGCACCATTTTTTTCTTGATCTGCTAATACTGCTTCATCCATTTGGTGACTTACCTCATACTATTCTATCCTCTGCAATTCTACTGATGTGTTCGTTCCACTCCTGTTTTCATTTTGTCATGCATCCATTTATGTCTTCTATATTGCATGGTCTTATGTTTTCGCTTCTCTCCCTATCCAACAGACTTTTTCCTGATATTCATCATAGTATTTTCATCTCTGTTGTTTCTAGTAGTCGGCTCGTTTTAGATGTGTTATGTCTTGTCTCTTCCGTGTATGTAATTATAGGTCTAATTGCTGCTTTATAGATTCTTGTTTTTGTGCCTTGTCTTAGGTGTTTATTTTTCTAGATTGTGTCATTAAAAGATCCCGTCATTTTACTTGCTTTTAAGCTTTGTTGTCATACTTCTTCAACATCTCCATAACTAGTTATATCTATTCCCAGATATCTAAACCTTGCTTCCTGCTTTATTATTTTCCCATATCATATTGTATTTCTTATCTTTTGTATATGTTTTGAAGATATGTGTTAATCTTTGGAGCTTGTCTTCTATTTCGGCGATTAATGCGGCGTCGTCTGCATAACATAATATTTGGATTTCTTTGTTCCTCATTCTGTAGTCATGACCTTTATGTACTGCTTGTATTATTTTCTCCATTATTATATTAAAGAGAAGTGGGCTTAACAAGTCACCCTGTCTGACTCCGCCTTATACTGGTATACACTGTGTTAGTTTTTCATTTATCTTTGCCTGTATTTGATTATGGAGGTAGATGTTTTCGATGGTTTGTATAATATTGATTGGTAGGTTTCTTTTATATAGTATGTGTAAGAGGTCTTCGACTTGAATGCAATCGAAAGCCTTTGTCAGGTCTATAAAACATAGATATGCTGGTTTATTGTACTCAATGGCTTTTTCTGTGATTGGTCTTAGTACAAATACGGCGTCTACGCAGGATCTTGTTTATCTGAATCCTTATTCATCTGATAAAGTTGTCAGTTTATTGATTTTGTTGGTTAGTTTTTTTGTGGTAAGCTCAAGTGCGGTGTTCAGTAGATTTATACCTCTATAATTGTCTTTATCTCCTTTCTAGAACATTGGTATCATTATGCTGTTTCTCCATGCGTCCGGTATCTTGCAGTGCAATATTAGTTTTTGTATAAATTTTGTCATCTCTAGGATTATACTTTCTCCTCGGTGTTTTAGAAGCGTATGGTTATTCCGTCTGGTCGTGGTGACTTTCTATTTTTACGCGAATTTATGGCTATTTCTACTTACTGAAAACTGATTTCTATTTCGTGTCTTAATTCAGGTACGTTATTGTGTTGATTATTATTTTCCTTTGCTTTAAACAGTTCCGTCAGGTATCTTTCACATTCGTTTGCTGGTATGTTATTGTGTTCCTTCAATTCTGCCATTTCTTTCCGTTGGTTTCTTATGAATCTCCATATTTGTTTTTGTGTACCGTATAAGTCGCTTTCCATCCTTTTTGTAAACTGTTCCGTGTACATTTTTTATTCTTCTTACCAACTGCTTTGTTTCATTTCGTATTTTTCTATAGTTGTTTTGGGATTCTGGGGTGTTTGATGTTTTGTACTTCGTGTAGGCCTCTCGTTTCTCTTTACATTTCTCCTTCTGTTGATGCTTCTTCAATGTTGTTTTTTTAATTTTCCCCCAGCTCGCCTTTATATCTACGATGTCGTCTATTTGTTTCAGCTGTATCTTCTGTACCAGCCTCTTTTGGTACATTTCTCTTGTAGAGTCGTTCCACATTGATTCTACATTGAATTTTTCCTCGGAGATTTCCTGTAGAAAATTTTATTTTGGTGTTATTTTCATTCTTATCTTTGCTAGTACTAGTTTGTGTTCACTCCCTGCGTCTGATGAGTTTAAAGTTCAGATATCTAGAATTTGCTTTTGGTGGATTTTTCTATTAGTGACTATAAAATCAATCAATAAGAATTAAGGGCTCTTCATGAGGTATTTCATTCAGGATGGTTTGCAATTGTTAGTAGAATGCCTCTCGTTCCTCCTTAGGTTTGAAGTTCTCGGGGCTATAGATAGATATGACATTTAATTGTTGGTAGTCCATTGTGATGTTCATATGTATTATTCTTTCGGATATATAACGGGAGTTATTTATGTTGTCTTTAAATTTTTATGGACAAGTACACCTACGCCTGCTCGTAGGTATACGTTAAATGTAGTAGTTAATGCCTACGCTATTAACTACTACATTTAGTGACTATAAACCACAATTATAATTTTGATTTTTTAGTTTACACTTCAGAAATTGTTCTCAAAATACAAATTAAATAAATTGTTTTGTTTTATAACTTTTCAAAATAAAAAAAAACATGACGATTGAGAGACATTAGAATTTAAAATTACAAAAGTGAGACTTTAAATTGGTACACTTAGTATATTTGAAGTAAATTCCTGCTAAAACTTTATTTATGTTTATCTGATTAAAGGTTCAATTGCTTAAATAAAATTAAATTAAATAATTTAAGAACACCTTGTTCTTTTAAAAGACCACCACATTAAATCATGACAGTCAAATTCTTAAATAATCTTTTTGACAACGATGTCCAGGGTGGAAGGTGAAACATCAGATTTTAGCTAGGGAAAAATGTAATTTTAATTACAATATTCTTCTTCATAAAGTGACCTCTCCTCAATAGAGGTTGGCTACTACAACTGCAAACTATTCTTTGTCTTCAGCTGTTCAAAATTTAGCCCAGTCCATTGTCGCATGTTTCTTAGCCGCGATAGTCTTTTCCTTCCTACTCCGATCTTTCCTTTTACTATTAGTTGAACATATTTATACTTATTTTTTCTCACTATTTGGCCTTGTTTTTCTAACTTTCACTGTGTTGAAAATTTATCGTTCCTTGCCTATTCTCTGCAGCACTTCTTCATTTGAGGTATGCGATGTCCATGAATTATTGAGGATTCTCCGGGAGATCCACATTTCAAAGACTTCCCATTGCGAGGAATCGAAATTCCAATTCCTGGAATTTTCAGTTTTATTCGAGAATCACATAGCAGTCTCTTGATTTTTTTGGAAAATTTTCTGGCCTATTTTGGAAGCTGGATCTTATTTCTAGATCCTGCTGCTATCAATCCAACATCCCAGGTAGCATGTACTTGACCTATTCTAAAACGTGCACGTTCATTGTGCAAGATTGAAGTACATTTTGGCTTTTTCAGATTGACATCACTTTGGTTTTTTTTCTTCAAATTTATTTTTATATAAAATTCTTGTAGATCAAGGTGGTCCTCTTGATGTAAGACCCAAGTCAGAATCTGCAATCAACACCTTTTCATTGGAGTATCTACTTAATACTGTTGATATTTTACTCTATTTACCTTGATTTCATCTTGAAATCCTTCAGTGCCTCTTTAAATAGAAACTCGGAATAAAGATTACATACATTTCATCTAATTTATATACCGATGCACGTCATCGGCGTCATAGCCTGTGACGTCACATGATACCAACACAAAATATTTAGGGTGTAGGTGTGTTCTTTTTAGAATCACTTTACCGAGTACACTGGCATTACAGCCACTAGACATATTTTATTATATACGCGTAGAAATAATATTTAAAAATTTCTATTAATGTTAACTTAAAGAAATACACAATAATATGTTTCATTTAATTTGTATAAATGCATTATAAAGTGTTTTTATCAATAACATTTCTTCGGAACACACTGTAACTGTAATCGAACGAAGGTAAAATTTTGGCATAAATTGGTAACACCTATTTGACAGTTTGACACCTATTTGACAGAGAATAGGCAAGGAACGATAAATTTTCAACACAGTGAAAGTTAGAAAAACAAGGCCAAATAGTGAGAAAAAATAAGTATAAATATGTTCAACTAATAGTAAAAGGAAAGATCGGAGTAGGAAGGAAAAGACTATCGCGGCTAAGAAACATGCGACAATGGACTGGGCTAAATTTTGAACAGCTGAAGACAAAGAATAGTTTGCAGTTGTAGTAGCCAACCTCTATTGAGGAGAGGTCACTTTATGAAGAAGAATATTGTAATTAAAATTACATTTTTCCCTAGCTAAAATCTGATGTTTCACCTTCCACCCTGGACATCGTTGTCAAAAAGATTATTTAAGAATTTGACTGTCATGATTTAATGTGGTGGTCTTTTAAAAGAACAAGGTGTTCTTAAATTATTTAATTTAATTTTAT